CAGCTTCATGGCTTATGATTTGCTGGTCCTGGCAGGAGGAGCAGGGCAATGGCAGTCCCTCTGTCACCACCACCAAGGGACCAAGGGCCACAGCAGGGCTGTCACTTGCACCCATGGCTGGAGTGCACCCACACAAAACATGGACACACAGCCATCTTTTGGAGGAAAAACCAAGGCATCCTGAAATCAAGGCTCTGCCATCCCTGCTGGAGCAGGGCTCTTTGAGGGATAGAAGGGATGCTCAGCCCAAAACACACTCCTCAGCCTGGCTCCCCTTGCCGCTCACCAGCTCCTTGCAGGATTTTCTTTTCCCAAGTTTTCCCAAACGGCAGGGAAGTTTCCAGGCCCAAACAAAACAGCCACACATGGGGTTTGTCGCTGGCTCCAGCGCAGCCTGCCCAGGGGAAGCGTTGCCATGGCTACAGGGGAAAAAAAATTCAGATCCAGCAAGAAGGCTGGGCTGATGGAAGTGCTTAATTAAAGATGAGAAGGCATCAGGGAAGTTCAGATGTGCGCAGAGCGGGGCCGCAGTCGGCAGCAGGCAGCTGCTGGGAGTTATTCGGGGCACTGCCCATCCTGCCGGGTGCTGGTGCCTCTTATTTTTGTCTTTTGGCTGGAAGAACAGGGAGGGTGAGGTGCTCCCTCTGAATGGCAGGGGCCTGAGGAGCTCAGTGCAGTGGAGATGGAGCCACAGCTGGCTCCAGTGCTGGGGGAAGCTGAGGCAGGGCAGGACACAGGACCTCGGGCAGGGGAGGAGATGCTGTGCCAGCATCCCATGAGGAAAGCCACACTGGGACACCGAGCAGTGCAATGGCCTTCTCCTCCTCCCTGCTGCACAACGCAGCCTTCAGGCACACAGGGGACACTGAAGGGTATCCTGTGTATTCCATTTGCATTTCCTGTGGTTTGGCACAGAAATTAGTAAAAAAAAAACCAAAACCTCTTTTTTTCCATTATTGCAGCACAATTTTCCCCAGCAGAGCCCGTTGCTTTACTGTCCCACACCCTCCAGAGCAGACTTTTCCTGGGGGCTGGAGGGGACATTCACTGCTTCTGCAGGGCTGGGTTTAGGGATGTGTCCTAAGCTGTGCCCAGGCAGGGGACAGAATGGGCACAGGGACCAACACTGGTGCATCATCTGCTCCACAGGGAGCAGAGCCCAGCACAGGGATGGCTCTGGGTCACCAGCCATTCATGTTGCTCCATGACACCCACTTCTCTGCTAACAAAGAGCCAAGGTTGCTCCAAGGTGGGGCCTGGGAGCAATATTTGGGCTCCAGGTGTACCCCCTCCCTTCTCTGGGGAAATGCTTCCCCAAGCTGCCTCTCTGAGGCAGCTGGCAGTGCAAGAGGGGCTCATTGCTGTAGGAAGGGATTTGCTAAGATTGAGAAAGACTTTTAAAGAGGGCTGTGAAGCTTCAGAAAAGAAAAGCAATGGGTGGCTGTGCTGCGGTTTGAAGCCATCTCCCACATGGGTGTCCAGGCACTGGGATGTCCCTTCTGCAGGAGAAAAGGCTGGATGGTTCCCTCCAGCCTTCACCCCTCTCCCACCACCTAGGCTGGGTATCAGGAAGAGGTTTTTGAGCCAGAGAGAGGGTCACAGTAGTCACAGCACCAACCCTGACAGAGTTTAGGAAGCATTTGGACAACACTCTCAGGGATTATTTGATTCTTGGGATGTCCTGTGCAGTGCCAGGAGCTGGACTTGATGTTCCTTGTGGGTCCAGCTCAGGACAGTCTATGACTCAATCTGAACATGCCATCAGATTTTGGAAAGAACAGACCATCATGCTGCTTACAGAGCCAGGACTTAATTCAGCAACACTCTGAGATCAACCCACTGCCATGACCCACATCACTCCCCCCTGCTCTGCACATTCAGCACAGCAGGGGAGAGTTTAGTTCTTTCCTGCAAATGAAATCCTTGCAGTGAAGACCAAAAGCTTTTGGAAAAAAACCTCAAACAACACACCACTATAGCAGAATCCTCTTAATTCAACTGCAGGTTTTCAATAAAGACAAACATCTAAGGGAAATTTGATAACTTGAAGGCAAGGCACACGCTCGCTGCTGAGCTGAGACAGCACAGGTTTTTAAAAGCTTTCTGGTTTACTTTTAAATAGGAAAGAATGCAAAAGGCAAACCTCATGTAAAAAAAAAAATAGAAGTGGGAAACCGAGGCTTGCGAAGGAAACAGGATGAATCACACCATCAGATTTTTTGGGTCACAGGGTTGTTTCTCAGATAACAGCAGAGATCTCTACTTAAACACTCATGATATGGTCCAGGCAAGGGCTGTGGCAGAGGATTCTCCTCTTGGCCTCAGCTTTTATGTGAATCTCACATGAAGGCATCAATATAACACCTCTGTCTTCCCCAGGGGACTGGAAACAGCAGGACCCTGTGATCTGGGAAGTTCTTTCTGGACTGATGAGCAAGGAAAAAGAAAAGGCTGGCACAGAGGATGAGGCAGACTGGCTCATGAGTCCAGTGAGTGAGTAAAGGAGGAGCTGTGCCAGCTGTGCCCTGCAGTGACACAGGTGTTCACGTGTCCCTTTGCCATGGGTACAGCCACATGGGACAGCCCGTGCTGCTGGCATTCCCTGGTCAGGCAGCACTTGGGCTCACTGCCAACCACAGCCCTGAGACAGCAAGGATCATTGTGTCATTTGGGGCTCTTTCACCACTTGCCAGGTGTCTTAGCTTTTCATGCATCTTTCCGTTTATCCCTATGGCCACAAGGCCCTGGACTTCAGAAGCAAGTAAGTAGCACAGAGTAAAGGAATGACTGTGTTTTGTATTTCCCCTCTCACCTGCAAATGAATAAGATCCTTTCCAAAGTGCCCAGGGCATCTTCCTCTTACCATTGACAGGTACAAAAATCAGGACGTTCATGCAAAGTTTGGGCTGTCCAAGCTACCTCTGGCCAGCTGAAAGAAGAGCCCCAAACTATTTAAAGATTCAGATGCAATTTAGATTTATTTATTTTTTATTTTTAAGACACAATTTGCTGAAGATTTAGCTGCATGGTGATTTTCAGGCTCAATTTTAAGTTGCATTTTAGCTGTATTCAGACACAAGAGCAGGTATCTGCCTCTGGTGCAGCTGGAGAGGTGAGCAGACCTGGCTTGCTGAAAGCAGGTGCTGCTGCCAAGCTCCTCATCATCTCAAACCCTGCCTGAGAAGTACCAGCACAACAGCAGGTTTTTTTGGATGCTTCCCTTCACATCCCAGCCCAGCCTGACTCTGATTAATTAATGGAGTTTCTGAAATCCCAGCCTTAGCTACTCTGGCTGCTGCTAGCTACAGCGAGCTGCACAGCTGCCTTCCACTCCCACTTGAGAGACTTTGTATTTACCAAGTATTAATTAGATGAATGTGAAGCACCATTTTCTAGGCAGGGGAAATTATCTGCTCTCTCCCTGCCCTGTAACAAGCTCATACTGGGACAAGTCTGAAAAGGGAGCAGGTAGAAGTGGCTCCTTCTTGCTCTGCACATCTGCCACTTTTCATATTTCCCTGCTTGACAAGCACTTCACTCCTGCTTGATCTGGAAAGGGAACAGCATTGTGAAAGATGGAGCTGGAGCCTCTCTCCCTTTGCAGATCACCACCAGAGCTGGTCCCAGAGATTGTCCTGACAGTCAGACCCACAAAATGGGAAGAGCTGCTGTCTCTGAGGGCTCCTCCAAGTGCCAGGAGCTGCTGAACAAGTGAGCCTGCCAGGAAAGCACAAGCAATGCATCCTTCCCTTCCACAAATCCTCCAGACCAGGCTGGGCAGGCATTTCTCAGGGCTGACCACAGGTAACATTGCCCAGGAGGAGACAAGGGGACCACCCCAAGATCTCCCCTACACCTGAAGTGCTACCATTTAATAAAAAAAACATTCACAGCACAACTGTTCCTCCTGGTGGCAACATCTGCACCATGAATACTGCAGCTGACACCAGTAATTGCAGCATGAAAGGCTTCAAGCAAATACCCATCTGGAAAAAAATGGAGGAAATGTCATGGAAGGCTGAAGGCTGTGACAGAGGGCAAGTGTCAATGGTAAACAACTGGTCAGCTAAATTTAGGAAGGCAGGTTGGGAGCTCTCCATGACCGGTTGCGTGTCTTCAGTTCAGACCACTGAGTCAACTAAAAACATTTAGCTATGACAGTGATGGGCTTTATAGAGAACTACAAGATAAATGAAGGGAAAAAGGTTATCTAATAATTACTGTCACTGTTTCACATCCAGCTGCATCCACAGCTCAGCTTGACCTTTGAGGAACAATGAATAATGCACCGTTCTGGTGAATGTTCCCCCTTTCTTGACAGACCATCAGCACACTGGTAAGGGAGAACCTCTCCTGTTTGTCCTTTACTCACTGTTTGGCTCATTTGCTTTATGTAAGAGGACCAAGAAAAATATCATACCTGTTTCAAAATATTTCCCTTGTAATTTCACATTGCTAAAATCCACAAACCATTGATGCTCCAAAATCTGCTGCAGGGACAGCAGCAAAGCTCATGTGAAACATGGGATCAAATGGATCTCCCTGTCTTTGGGCACCAACAGGAAACCAGTCTGCAGTGCTGAAGCCACTGGTCTCCAAGGCATCCAGAAACTGATCCAAACCAGGGAGACATAGACCTGGATTCTATTTCCAGCTTGGCAATGTTTACATGGTGCACAGGTAAGCCATGCCTTGTACTGAGCTGAATTTTCATGTCCTGCTAAATTGGGGAATGAAACAGAATAGAGAGATGTGAGGAGTGCTGGGGCTGTGCTGCATTGTAGCAAACAGCTACTGAGCTCTGCAGCTGGTCATGAGGAGCCAAGGATGAGGAAAGAGTGGGCTTTCTGGGAGACCTTCTGGGAGGGGAAGTCACACAACCCCACAGCAGTGCAGTGGTTTTCCAAGCTGTAAAATCAATTGCAATTCACCTGCTCTGCACCATTGTTTGCTCCAGGCAGATCTCATCTTTAGCCTGGCTCATTTCATGTATCCAAAATTCAATCTTTCTCTGGCTTCAGACCAGGTCCTACCAAAGCAGGATCAAGCCCCATGACCAACTCTTGACCTGGGGAGCAAAGACTTGGGGCAGGAGGGTGTCCCAAGAGAGACAGCTGGAGGTCACAGTCTCTGGGGCTCTGCTGACACTGGGGTTTGGGAATGTGCCAGAGTGTTGAAGTGCCAGTAAGCTGTTTTGGTCACTGGCTATGAATGAGGGGGTCATCCTGGCAAAATTCAAAGTGAACCTCTGCACCTGATCAGACAAAGCACAAAGATCAAATAGTCTATTTAAAATCTGGAGAGAAAGGGACAGTCCCAACAACAGCTCTCCCCCAACACTTGGTAGTGTTCACACACGTTATGACATGAAGGATTAATGTCTGGAGGTCATAGAGAGTTTGTGCTTTCCCCCAGCTTCCCAAGGAGGTGTGTGACCAGTTTCTGCAGGGCTGCAGCCCGGACCAGCGAGATGCGCAGCACTTCCTCGTGGTTGGCTTTCTCTTGGCTGTTGTAGCTCATCACTGCTCTGTTGGTGATGAGGGAGATCCCAAGGACTCGGAGGCCACAATGCCTGGCTACAATTACCTCTGGGACAGTGCTCATGCCTACAGGAGGAGAGGAAAGGACCAGAATGAGTCAGGATTTACCCCAAAATGAGATCTCTCCAAGGCTGCATGATCCTACCTCCAAGCACATGCCCTTGTCTCATTCCCCCCAGCTCTGTGTCTGAACTCTGTAATAGTTAAAGGCTGTGATACGTACAAGGCTCAAATAGCTGCAGACTACAGTTACAACTCTGCTCAGCACAATAAACCTCCTGCATTTGATCCTTGTGCCACAGCTCCCTCCTCAAGATGTGTCAGACTGCTTGCAGACTTGCTAAGGAAGTACTGATGTGCTGTGTCATTGGGCTCTTCCTTGGCTAAAAAAGCTATTGCAAATAAAAATGGCTTTGAGGGGAACTGAGCTCCTTTCCTCACACACAATGAATCTGCAGGTATTAATATACAGAATTCCATGAACCAGGGGTCATGGAAGGAATCATAGCTGGAGGAATCATATGGATCATGGCACTTTTCTTTTTCACAGTTGGGAAGGTATCCATGATTACCATCCCTAAACAAGACTCATAAGGAAGGCTGGTTTGTAGAGAAAAAGCACAGTGAAAATCTTTACAATGTCAGAATTAGAAGAAAAATACTAGAAAAATACTTCATTTTTATTGAGCCCCACTCAGTCCTCCTGAAGTGGTGCCATCTGAGCATGAGAGACTTTGTGTTTGGGAAATAAACACAAAGTTGTGCTGGGATCCCTGTCCTGCTCAGCTGTAAGCACAGGGACTTTGTGCAGATCCTCCCAGGAGCTGCACTAAGCCACTGCAGAATGAAGCAGAAATACACAGAGCTCATTTCTCCAGCCCCAGGAGACTTAGAGAGTCAAAGACTGAAGCAAGTCAACCTTGAGCAGAATTAACTGTTCAATCCACGTGCTCAGAGAGCCCTGGCAGCCCAGCCCAGGCTGGCAGCTCACCCACAGCATCAGCTCCCAGCGCCTGCAGCAGGCGGCACTCGGCGATGGTCTCGTAGCTGGGCCCAGCCTGCAGGCAGTACACTCCTTCCCTGGTGAAGCTCAGGAACCCCAGCTCCTGGGCACTCTCCATGGCCAGGCTGAGCAGGTCTTGTTCATAAGCATCTGACATGCAGGGAAACCTCACTCCAAACCTGAAAGGCAGTAAAGGACACAGCTGTGTGATCGTGCTACTGCTCCCTCCGTCAGAGTCCAGGGATGGTCACTCTTTACAGAAAAGGGAAGTGGTAAGGGCAGACCTGCCATGGATGGAATCTCTCTCATTCCACTCTTACCATCAGGTAATTCTGCCATCAATCATGGAATAGTTTAGGTTGGAAGGCACCTTCAAAAGCCATCTCATCAAAACCCATGCAGTGAGCAGGGACATCTTCAGCCAGATCAGGTTGCTCAGAGTCCTGTCCCACCTGATCCTGAATGTTTCCAGGAACGGGGCACCTGCCTGGGTGTGACATTCCTGCTAAATCTAGTCATCCAAGACTGTCAGCACAGAGAGCTTATGGCTGTTGGAAGGTCTGGCACTACTTCCCTTCTGCAAAAACCCTTCTGGAATGGTCTTTCAAGGGCTCCTGTCTCTAGGGAGCACTGATGGCCAGTTCTCTCTCCTCAGTAACTGCTCATGATGTCTTTTAAACATTCCCCACCAGACAGTTGCTGCTCTGAGGCACAGAGTCCCTCAGGCTGTCCCTGGATGGGGGTTTAAGCCTGGCCTGATGGAGCATCAGTCCCTACATTTAAGGCCCATCACAGCAGCCAGCTACTTTACATCTTGGAGCTCCAGGGCCATATTTTAGGTACCTTTCATCTTCTGCTTCAAGACTGGGTCTCTTGCTTTTGGTCTTAAAATAGCAGCTCAGTCCTGCTCCTGATGGACTGCACCCTGCTCTTGACTCAAGGAGAGCAGAAGTAGATGGCAAAGACTGTTATGCTGCCACTGAGGAAACCTGGAAAATAAACTCTCAGCCATGTTCACCAATGCAGCTCAGTAGGAGTGGACCAGGTCCCTCATTTATGCTATTAAAGCTTCTGCTTGTTTACATGTTCTTCCAGCTGAATGCTTAGGGCAGTAGGTGGCTTATTTTGTTTTTATAAACACTGAATATTACATAAATAAAAAAAAAACTTCCCCTTCTGGTCTAAGGTAATAAGTATTCATTACCATGAAAATTGCTTCCCTTTTCTGAAGGATGGCCAGCAATGCAGACTCCCAATCTCTAATTTATTAAAAAAATATTATTTCCACATCACTTCATTGCCTCTAGTTTTGCTCTGTGGTGCTTAGATAAATCCTTCCTGGTAGCTCAGCTGGACAGGATTTTAGCAGTTTGCTCAGCTAAATCTCTGCAATACTTTGAAACCTGATTCATAAAGACCTTTTGCCCATTTTGATGCCTTGGTCAGCAGTACAGAAATCACCTCCCAGAGCACTGCAGTCTTTACCAAGAAGCTGCTTTGGGGAGGCAGTGAGGCAGCTATGCTGCCTTTGAACGCTGTCCAGATGCCGTTGTTTGATTGGAGTTTCTCCTCCTGTTCCAGAGCAATTATGCAAGCCCAGAGAGCTTTAAACACTCCATGTAGCTTCTCTGCTTTTGATCACTTTCCTCCAACCCACGGTAATACCTACAAAAATGTAAAGATGTTCCACTTCAGATGGGTACTGTCCTCTTGCCATGGAATCGCAGCACAGTGATTATTTCTCCTGAGGCAGCTGCCAGCACCTCTCAGATTCTTTCAGAAGCAAGAGCCAGGTCTGCTGTTACATCAGGAAGGAACTAACTGAAAGCCAGGCAGGCCACCTTACTCTCAGCAGAACTTTCTCTCTGGAAAGATCTGAGGACAATCCAGATGCCTGCCCTGCAAACGTCCATTTTTCACGATGGGCCTTGCACCTTACCAGTCTGATGGTGTCTTGGAAGGATTTTGGGATCATAAATTCATTTTGGAATGGACCTTGAGGTCATGTAGTCCAGTATCTTGCTCAAAGCAAATCCAAATCTGTTGGCAACTGCAGTTCAGGTGTGAGGATATGTTAGAAGCTCCTCTCTGCACCCTCAGTAAGGTAAAGATTCTGCTACACAGCCAGTACAAGAAACCTGACTTCCCAGTTCAGCCAGCAGCAGGTGGCTCTTGTAGATCTCAAGGTCTCTGAAGAAGCTGCCAAGACAACCACCTCTCATCAGAGCAATGCCTTCAGTGAATACAAAGGCACTCCAGTCTGAAGACCTGGAGACAGCAGTGGTGATCAGGATTTTAGAGGCTTCACCTTTGCTCTGCCCTGCACTTTCAGCCTGGCCTCTGCTGTACCCATTCCATCGCACCAGAAGTGGCTGTTGATAAACCCAGGCTGGAGACAGCACAGTTCACTGATTGCTCAGTTAAGAGGAACCAACAGAGAGAGGGGCTGATAAAAAGAGGAGCAGTGAGTGTGTTTAGCAGATGGTACAGCTGGTCGTGTCAGGAGAAGGATCAGAAGCCTACTTGTACAAAACAAAACCTTCTGGGGCTTTGTGTGTAAGCTCCTTGTAAAAGTAAGCAACAGCCAAGGGAGGGCAGGGCAGGTGGCACAGCACATACAGCTACTGCTGCAACTCTTTCCCTGTGGTTACCTGGAGCCAAACTCTGCCTTTCAGTAAATATTTGTCAGCAGGCACAACTGGCAGTCCAGCCCATGGCTGAAGGAGGAAAGGATTAATTGGTAACAACGGAGCCGACGCCTTCTTACCGCTCATCGTTTGGTCCACGCAGGGGATTCTGCCCTCCCAAGCCAAACAAGCTGATGTGATCCCTGATGAACATGATGTCCCCCACCTGGAAGTGGGGATTCAGTCCTCCAGCAGCATTTGTGACAATCAAGATCTCCACCCCCAGGAGAAAGAACACCCTGATGGGAAAGGTGACCTGCAAGAACCAAAAGCACACGTGCAATGAGTGTCACAGTCAGCAGACAGCCACTGCTACCTCGTTTGTAATATCACAATTTGTGGATGCAAAGAGTCTACATATGGAGACGAAACAACCTTCTGCAATTTTAAACATTCCTCTAATTTAAATAGAAAGTTAATGCTTTTTAAACAAATTAAACATAACCTTGCAATGGAACAAAATCTTGCATTAAAATCCAAGACCACGTTTCCTACAGGTGCAGGAAGGTCAAATAAAGGTGTACAGAAAGAACATGCAGATAGTTTTTGCTCACTGCAAAGGTCTTGCAGAGATCAAACCACTGTGCTGATTGAAGTAACTACTTATGTACATGGACTTGGAGAGTAATCCAAAGCTAAGGAACAGTTGGGAGCTGGAGAAAAAACATTTAGAGAAGTTTGATTTTGAGGAGTCATGAAGGAATTTAGATGATACCTGCTATCAATCAAATGCTACTGTGAGCAAAACATTTCCTAGTAATGAACACCACTTCTTCAAGAAGTAAGTTAATTTTAATAGACAAACATGTCTTGATAAAGCTAATTTTGTATTGAGTGATTTTGAAATAGTTGGTTTTCTATAAGAAGTTGGGTGGTGCCAAAAATTACAGTTTATATCCAAATGCAAACAACCTCAATGTAATAAAGGAAAATCACAGAGCTATCCAAATGAAAAAAAAAAGAGAGCCAATAAATAAATATTATTGTTGTTTTCTAGCAGAAAAGTATACATATGTGCATGGTAGGTAATATAAATCTCCACACATTCCAGTATGTTAGCTAGGAGGTTATAGCAGCTTGCAGTAGCCTGGGAATTTTTTCTAGGGAAAAAAAAAGCTGTCAACTATATAAATGCAATAGAAGATTAAAATAGATTATTCTTATCAACGTTTTCTCATTGCTGATTTAAATCATGATTAAACTGACTAAGTTAAAGCATGTAAATTAATCTGCCTTATATGATAAACTATTTCCCCCTGTGAGAGTAGCAGGGTCAGCCAATTCGTGTGGCTGTGCAGCATCACCTTCACCCAGCAGAAGCCAACTATCTCTTGGTTTGAACTCCCAATTTTATTTTTTTGGGGTCAGATCTGAAATCTAAGAAAGACTCATTTCAAGAGCACTGCAAGTTCATTGCAAGAGCTAACATCCTGCAGCTAGATAGCAATGCAAGCAGTCACTTCTGCAGCTTTTACAATACACAACCCCAAGGTGAATATTTTCCTTAAGGAGAACTCACCGTGCTGAGAGAGTGGCCTTCGTAGGAGTGGAAACGCCCCTGCATGCACACGCAGGGCTGGCCATTCAGCTCCCCAAACACCAACCTGCCAACGTGCCCCGACACTGGAAATTAACAAAGTCAATTAACAAAGTCAATAATTTTAGTCACAGGTCTCAAGGAATTTGACTTTAGAGGGATCTGTCAGTTGATGATTTTGCTTTACCGCAGGGCCAAGCACTGCAAAAGCAGGAGCTGGAAAACAAATAAATAAATAGCTATATCTGTGCTATAATATTTATGTTTTTTTACTGTGAACACACATTTCAACAGTGTCACTATGATATTTTTATGGAAATCCTTTGCTAGGATTTTTCTCCTATTCTCGCTAAGAAGTCTCAAAAAAGAAATGTAAACAATAACTGTCTGATGGCTGTGGAATGTGGTCTGGACATTGTTTACCAACAAGTGCATCTTTGATTGGTCCATGTGAGTTATTTCTACTTAATAACCAAAGATCCAAAGCTGTGTCGGACTCTCTGAGAGTCACGAGCTTTTGTTATCATTCCATTCCTCATTATTCCTTTCCAGCCTTCTGATGGATCCTTTCTTTCTATTCTTTTTAGTATAGTTTTAGCATAACATTTTAATATAATATAATATAATATCTTAATATAAAAAATCAGCCTTCTGAAACATGGAGTCAAGATTCTCATCTCTTCCCTCGTCCTGAGACCCTCGAACACAACCAACCCCAGTGTGGGACTGGTTTGCAGACCTGAGTGACCCCTGTGTGAGGCTCTGCTGCAGGCTGCTGGTGGGAGGGGTGCTGATGCCCTGAGTTGTGCCCACCTGAGCTCCGTGGGAAGTGAGGGATGTCCTCATAGAGGAAGGCTGTGCTGTTGTCCAGCACGTCGGCCAGAGCTCCCAGCCCGGAGCCGCAGACGATGGCGATCCTGGGCCGCCGCGCAGCTCGGGCACGCAGCCACTCTGCTGCTTCCCTGCACGCCTCGTAGCCATTTCTGCAGGAGGAGAACAGGCCAGTGAGACTTATCAGCCCATTCAAAGAACAAGCTTCAAAGGATAAAAGTCCTGAAAAGGTGTGGAGAAAAAGAAATTTCAACAAGAGTATAATAATAGAAGGTTCGCTGCTATTATTGAAGATGCATCACTTTTAGGCTTATGTATTTTACCCCTGACTACAAGGAAAGCATTTGAATCCCCTTGGCTGGTTGCATTCTATAGATGAAGAATGGCTAATGATACCTAGATCACAGAAATGTCACAAGACATAACCACTCCTGCTTCTGACGGGCTCTGGTATCTCCTGAGTTCCTGAAGAAAGGGAAAAGCACAATTAGACTGAGAAGTTCCAACCTATATGAGTGTGCCTGTGATGGGGAAAACAAATGCCTGGAGTTCTGAAGACACCTGAACAACACAGCTGGAATGCTGTGTTGATGAAGGAGCAGACACTGTCATCTGCAGTAGGTAAAGATTCGGGTAAACTTCTGAGACATGGGTCAAGCATCACTTACAGAGGTGGAGAAGCCAATCTCTGTAAGTGTTGAGTGCCATCAGCTCCCACTGCTTCCATCTAGGCTGGTACCACATGTCAGACACCCACCCTCTCGATACCTCGTGCCTCCAGTACAGAAGGATAAACGTGGAGCTCTTACTCAGCCTCTTCTCTCCCACAGAGTGGGCATGGGATCACACCTGCAGCCCAGACATAGCCAAGAGGCCCAATGACATCAGTCTCCATCAAAACAAGGGAAAACCAGGAATTTGGGCTCCAGAGTTTAAAGTGATTCAAGAAGGGGACTCGGCAAATATATTGGTTAAAAAAAGTCTAATCCAGCAGGGAGCCCCATTGCCTGAAGCTGGGATAGAAGTTGGCATTACAGTACCTGTTGTACATCTATCTCATGGGAAAGGAGAAGAGTTTAACTTTTAACCTCTTAGCCCAGTATTCAGATGCCTTAATCACAGTTTTGAAACACAATCAATAGCAAAATAATCCTGTAATCCTGTTTCCAATAGGACAATGCAGACACTTTCTGAAAGTCAATATCAAGGTTGATTGGAAACTATCCTCAAAAGCAGGAGTACTAATAGCAGTTCTTGGAAGCAACTCAATCATTACCATTGATGAGTAGAATTAATGATTGTACATGGAAGAGGACTGGGTCTGGAGTGAACCCACAGGCAGGGGCAGCAGTTCTCTGTATGAAAATTTGATCTGATTATTGAGAGGTGAGAAAATCAGATACTGTGAGGCTGCAGGTGACGTAAAATTGACTGGAGGTGTTGATAAGCAGTCACTATCTATCCAGGAATGTTTCTTTTGGTCCTTTTTTAGCAAGTCTCTTTTTTCAACAGGTGTAAATCCTAGTAATGCTGTGATGCAGCTCTCAGCAGTCTTAGAGGACAGACAGAAAGGGTTTCAGAGTGGTGCTCCTCACTCCAGGAGGTCTCAGGCCACTAAGAGGATTTGAGTGTCCTTGTACAACTGGTTCCTCCAACCAAGTACCAGATATTGAAACAAAGGTTCCCAGTTCTATGCTTTTTCTTTCTTTATACTGACAGGGCCAGTTACTGCACAGGTGTTTTCTGTGAGAATTTAGACTCTTTAACAGTCTAGTTACTACTGTGAGTCCTATCCAGCATAAGATACATCAAACTTATGGTCCTAGTTACAAAATATAATGTCAAAAATACCCCAAAATGTCATAAGCCTGCAATCCAATGGGAAGAAATAACTTCCATACACATAGATTAAAATGAAGAGTCATACTTAGCTGAAGTACTTTTCAAAGGAAAAGTTTGGAAATGAGTGAGTTTATTTACCATCATATACTGAATTTTCTAAGTGCATCATGAGCTCCTGAAATAAGCAGGAGCTGTGAAAATGACATTAATAAAGACTACACTTGACTACGTTATCACTTGCTCCCAGACAAAAGCTTTAAAAGTGCTTTACATACATTAATGAACAATTCCCCCCAACTTCTCTGTTGAATAACTGTAATCCTTGTTTAGAAATTCAAGGGAACCAAGAGAATTTATATGTAATGCCTAAGGTTTTGATATACCTGTGGCAGGCATGAGAAAGGAACAAGGTCACCAGGATCTGCTCTTCCTCATGACCATAATACTGCTTGTTTCAGTATTTTTTTAAAGTGCATAAACCATTGCAAACTAACATTAAAAATGGATATTATTCCCAAATTGGATGGATATCATCAGAAATTTTAGGAATGTGGGATGGAACCCATTCAATGTCGCTGAAGATACCAGGACTCACTGAGCTATGCCAAGATACAGTGGATTTTTTCCTTTTAAACAGAAGATATTAAAATACTTCTTAACCAAAGAAGTAAATCTCCAGTGCTGCATATGTTTCCTTGCCTGAAAGGAGCTCCAGCAAGTGCACAGGGGCCTGACATCCCAAAGGCTTTGGGCACATCAGAACTGTCCCCAGTGCTGAGAGCACAGCGATGCCAAAATTAATCTGCTTGCAGCATTTTGCTTTCAGAAACCTTCCGGATGACATCAAAGGGACTGGCAAGCACTGATAATTTCTGAATGCAAGGGAGATACCTGCTCAGCAGGAGCAAAGGGGGAGTTTGACCCGTGGGTCACCAAGCAGAGTGTTCAGCCTGGAACTGCATGAGCACAAGGCCTGTGCAAGCTTTTTGACAGCTTGAATTAATACGTGTAGCACAAAGGCCCCTCTAGCTGCTCTAACAATGCACACCTAATAATAGTGCTCGGTAGCATTGCTTTGGATTAAATCACAGGATCAGCTGAAAACACAATCCCCTTTATTGTGATTGCTGTCATCCACTGGAGAAACACATCTGTTGCAAAACACAGGACTGTCACCAGTGACAGATCTTTTATGGCATGAAAAAAACCCCACTCTTATTTGCTTCTAAGTTGGCTGAAAGCAAATCTATGTTAAAAAAAGCAGACATATCCCAATAAACAGCTAAAGCATTATGTTTGGGGGCACATGGCCATACGCATTCACAGTCTGTGCCTCTCCACAGGAGATATTTGCCTCTTCTGGCCCATAACCTCTCCCAAGGTCACCTACTCGCTGCCATATTTCATAATACCAGCACCTGCCCAGGCAGATGGCCAGATTCCTCTCCAATAATAAGATGTTTACTTCTGAGCAGCCTTTGTCTGACATTTATTGAGTGCTCAGTAGAAAGGAAACAAGGTGAGGAAAAGCGATGTAATTTTGTCAGCCCCATCCAGCTTGGACGTCCGTGCATCCCCTGTTTCACAGCACCTTACCTGTCTTCCTCAGCATAGGCCATCCTCCTCCTCTCTGGTTAACAAAAGAAGGGGATGGTTGCTGGAAAAGGAGCTGCAGGGTTTTGTTTGAGCAAAGAGCAGAGGCCTATTGAACCTGCAGAAGCTGCTGCTGTCTCTGGCAGTGACTCAGGGAAGTGTGTCCCAGCTTCTCTCTGCTGTCCCCTGAGCATCTCTAATCCCCGAGTAGGAGGGGCATGGTCAGGACATCTGCTTTTCTGGCCTCACCCCACATGACACACATGCTCTAGAGCTCTGCAGAAAGCTTACACGCATGCACACACACACTGTAATGCAGATTAAGCCTAGAAATTTCACACGCACGCACACTTTTCAGTGGCTGACAAGGGATCTGCCTGGGTTTGCACCTCTTGCATCACCTGGGAACCAGCTGGAGTCACCTGCTCCTGTGCAATTCAAACCCCTGGGAGTGTGCAGACCCTGTGAGATGACCTGTAGCACCTACCACTGACACCAGGCCTTTCCACATCTCACATCATTGCCTTCCCATTCTTTCATGGCAGCCAGGGGTGATGACCCAGCAGCTCCCCTCAGGGTTTTTTGTTCCTATCTAATTGTCTCACCCTTCCCAAAATGAAATACTTCTTTGAGATATGCTAAACCTCCATTCAGCAGTATATGGGAGACACAGGAAAGAAGACAGACACCCCACCATCTGTCCCTTTAATTTTAGCTTTGCTGTGTATGAAAACAAATATAAAAACAACCCTGTCATATGGATCTGTTTGTGCATCAGTGTTTGATCCCAGCAACTGATGTGAACCACATTTTACAGAGCCAGAGATGTTTCCAAGACAATTGAATGCCAAAAAAATTCAAGAAAAGCAGTGATGAGTAGAGACCTTACACGCCCTAGCTGAAAGGCCACATCTACAATACACATTCACAGCTTAATAAATCCAAAAGGGACATGTAAGGGTATAATTTATAAATATCCCAAGCAGGGACAAATTAGAACTTGTCAATTTTTAGACAAATCATCCAGACATTAACAAAAATTCAGAAAACTGGGCAGCACGGATTCCAGGTCTTGGATTTCTTACTTCTTACATTCTTCTTTCCTTTTTGATCTTGAAGACCTTGCATCAAACAGACCATTGTTGCCCCAGAAAACTGTCTCTGAGAACTTCAAAATCAAACAAGGTAACAAATGCACCAAGAAAAAACCAAGGCATTTTTTGAGAGATATATACTTCATGCTGGAAAGCAGAAACCCAGCAATGCCAGCACAGGCTGGGAATCTGCAACAACCAGCAGAATTTAAAAATCCAATTCTGTTTTATTTGTTGAAAAATACAGTTGGCACTGAAGAAATAGAAAATGGATCTGAAGAGAAACCATAATGAGGGTCTATCCCCTCAAGGTCTTGACCTTTCTTTCTCCCTCAAGTTTAAACTTCCATTTCTTTCTTATCTTCTCTTAGAAAGATTAAAATGCCTCTTCTACAGAGACAAGGAGGTGGGGTGCTGCCACATCAGGACCCACAGTACATTGCTGCACTGGCATGGTGCATCTTGCTTTTTGTTTGCTGGAGGCAGTAGGTAAATCAACATTAAGGATTTGTAAATAATTTTCCCTTCTATGTCTTCTTTCTAACTCTGTTTTTACCATGTTTCCCCTAATTTTTTTCCTTTTTGTCATTCTCATTCTTGTACTTCTGAATCTTGGCCATATCTGCCTCTGCCTGTTTTAGGTATATCCTCCTTTTTCCAGCATTGTTTTTCTGCACAAAACACAGCAGACTGAGAGCAGAGGTGGTTTTAGGTAGATTTAACTGCACCAAACCCTGCTTGGCTGTGAGCCAGTGTGCCAAAGGACTCTGCAAGTCACCATCACCCCAAGCAACATTCACCCAAACCCAGGGCCTTAGAGCCACTTACCAGCTCACTCAAGTCTTTCTGCCCTCTGGAAGTGCAGGCTCCTCTTGCCACTACTCAGGACTTCTTTGAAACTCATTATTTGCTGCCATTAAATTAAATTACAGAGCAATGTTAGGCCCTTAATGTTGATTTTCCATATAGCTTGTTGGTATCAGCAGAGTTCTGATGCCCCCCAGATATGTTCCCTTCTTCAGCCTTAATCTGATTATGTTCATTAATCTGATTCTTTTTTTGCAAAGCAGACAAGAGAGATCAGACAGCCCGAGAGTTCTTCCCAATTTGCTCTCATCTAAGACAATCTCCTTCCTAGTTTGGATTTACATGGAAAACAGGATTATCAAAAAGGGGCCATTTTATCTATCTTTCTGCAATGTCTGTTATTTAACAGCAACAGAAATTACTAGAGTTTTAACCTGTAATGCTGCATTGGCTGGACAAGTACGAGATAAACGTTCACCCTACTAGGACAAAATTAATTTGAGCACTGAGGACATTCATGCCAATTAGACTGCAGGGAATGCTCCAAATCAGATTTATCTAGAAAAAGAAGGTATTGAATAGATTGCATAACGCTGAAAAAAATTATTGGGAGTCTTTTGTCCTGAAGGAATCTCAGTTGTCTCTGTCTGTATGTGTCTGCAGCAATTTGTATCTATAATCCTGATGTTGCTGCCTTGGCTGTCATTCAAGCCCTGCTTCTGTAGCGAGAACTTCAACTGCTACAGGATGCAGATACAATCACCTGAAATCATTTTCTAACAATGCTGTACATTCCTAGACCAATTTCCATCTAAAGAAGCGTCGTGAAGTATTTTGCAAGCATTTCATCAACATTTAATTAATGCTTTAGGGTAAGTCTCCACTTTCCTGTGTGCTGACATTATCACTGTATCAAATTATCTTGCAGTCTTCTCACACCTACTGCACATCACTCTTTTGGGAAGAGGAACTGAGCTAGAGAAATATTCACAGAGTGTCTACACAGTGGGGACAGCCTAGCCCAGGAGAAATTATCCCCCCAAAGCCCTACAGGCATTACCATGCCCTTCTTTACTGGTGCACTTTCCTGGGGGCCATTTCTCCCAATTCTCTCATACTTAAAAAAGCCAGGATTGTGCCTCAGTGTTTTGGAGGAAGGTAAAATGGCTAAAGCTTGGAAAGATTCTGCTTTTATGCTGACTACTGAAAGCACACGTTCCAGGTTTGATTAAAAATTTCTGCCAATAATTAATCAGGAATTTTTCAGCAATTTGGAAAGCCTTTGTTTGGGAAACTCATTGTTGTCTGTACAATGGCTAGCCAGACAGCCACTGGAGTGTTACTAGCCACCAGAAAGCTAGATAAAATTGAGTTATATACCAGAAAAGTTATTCCCCAACAGGTCATTTTAATAACAATCTCTAACAAGATCTGCCTGGAGTGGTGAGCATACTGCTCATTGTACATTGACAGGAAAGAGACCTCTGACCACAGTGAATGCAGCAAAGGGCTGGCCAGGGGAGCAGAAAACCAGACGTTCAAAGAGCCTGTCATGGTTAGCTGAGCAAAATGAGAGCAAAGCAATGCTTCCATGACAGCCTGAAAATGTTGCCATGGAGGCAGGAGAGATACAGAAACTTAAGACAGGCAGCAGGAAACCGGGGAGATGCGTGTTCAGTTAGGCCAGACGTCAGAAAAAAGCTTCCAGCTGGCCAAAATGTGCAGTCCTAAATAGCCCTCCTGTGAAGGCAGTGGGAAAAAGCTTTTAGGACAGAGATCAGTTAATGTAAAGGGTTTATGATGTTTACTGGTAGGGAAGCAGCCACAGCACTTACAAATTATATGCCTGCTCTGTAAAGCCTCACCATCTTTAAAAAAAACAACCAAACTCAGGCAGAAAGAGGAAGCACCTTGACGAAACCTGTCAAGGTTTAAATAATAATAATAATAAATAATAATAATAAATGATACCACAGAAATCAGACACCTTGACGAAACCTGTCAAGGTTTAAATAATAATAATAATAATAAATAATACTAATAATAAATGATACCACAGAAATCAGTAAAAGAGCAGAGATGTCCTAATACCAGCCAACACTTCCATCTTCCAGCTCTAGGAGATGTAGCAAACAGCAAAGGGTAAGACTGGGGTTGTGGCTATGGAAGTTTGTGGAAGCAAAAGCATCTCTGGCAAGGAACTTAGAGTATAAAAGGGATTATTTGGGGATTTGAGGGAAAGGAGTTGAACCTTCTGAAGGGATACAAAAAGCACAACCAGGGATCAGCAGTATGTCAGGCTTGGGATGAAAGGATGGGCTTTTCAATGTGGAAGTGCTTTGAGGCAGGCAAAAAATCACAGAGTACAGGGGAAAGTGTGGTGGAAGGCTGGAACAATCCTTAGTGAGAATAAGTGGAAAAGAAACCACAGATCCTGGTGGACTAGACACTAAAAAAGGCCAGGTACCCCTATGGTCTACAATAAAACCAAATAAATTTAACAAAAAATTATAAGGAATAAGGAAGAAATGCCTTCAGGCCTGTCACAGAGGAAAACAATTCTCAGATAATTAAATTACACTACACAGCTCCATGTAGCACTAAGATTCCTTGACAATAGATATGTTTCCCTATTCAACACAGGTAAATGCAGTTCGTATCCTGGCACCACAGCCAGCTGCTGGGGCTCCAGTATGCTTCTGCATATGAAGAACATGAATTCTCCCTAGGAAGGGCACTTACTCATATCAAAACAACACAGGACCCAAGTTTATCCTGCTCTGTGGTCTGGTTTCCTCTTCCATAATTCATAATACTTTCACACAGTGAAATGCCAGATCTTTCACTAGGTCTCAGGACCAGGTCCTCATTTCCCCAAAGCCCCCTTTGGAAAACCCTGATTTCTGGAGGTCAGTAGGTGAACATACCACCTCTGGTAGCTGTGGTCTGTCAGGATGTATTTGTGCTGTTCCAACAGGATCAGTGCTTCCTCATTATCTTGTCTGTGGTGCAACAATAACACACTATTGAACAGCTGATAGGTTTTCCCTTTCATTTCAGTGATTTTTGTTTAAAGAAGCAAAGGTTAGAATTGTACATCATTTTACTAACTGGCTACGTCAGAC